GAAAGTAAGAAAGAATTTAACCCAAATAGAAGAACACAAAGACACACTGAATTCAAATTGGCAAGAACCAGGAACAAGAGAGAAAAGGCATATACTTTGCAAGTGGCTGACCCAGTAACCACATGGTCCCCTGAGCACTGCAGGGTACAGCCCTGAATGTCCCTGAGCATCTCTGGGTGTGGCCCTGGAGGTCCTAGAGAATCACTAGGGTGGCCGGAATATCCACAGCACCACAGGACCAAGAAGCACCACATCCTTGGGCCTTGCACTTGAATTGCTGGCAGGTTGACTGAGAATCTGGGAGGGGCCTGCAGATCCCTGAAGCACTGTTTTGGAGTCCCTCCAAACAGAAAGAAAAGCAACAATAGTAACAGAAGGGTAAGAACAAGCGAGTGAGTGGGCAAGTGAGAGTGAGAGAGAGAGAGAGAGAGAGAGAGAGAGAGAGAGAGAGAGAGAGAGAGAGCGACTGAGCAAGAGAGAGAGTCCTAAAAGCAGGAAGACAGGAGCACAGACTCGTGTATGAGTCATTTTGAGTTTCTTAAATGAGACTCTACAAGTAAGAAGGGAATGGAGGACTGGAGCGATAGTACAGATGGTAGGGTGTTTGTCTTGCACGCAGCAGACCCCAGCTTGATCCCCGACAACCCATATGGTCCCCCAAGCACCACCAGGAGTAATTCCTGAGCACTGCTGGATGTGGCACCCTCCCCACCCTGGCAAAAAAGAAGAGAATGAAAGTTATATTCAAAGTACTGAATAAAAAGAACCTCCAGGTCAGAATCTTCTAAGTTTTCACTCAGAGTTGAAGGAGTGATAAAAAAAAAATAGCTGAGGGCATTTGTTGCCTCTTAATCAGTTTTGCAAAGAATACTGAATTGTCTCTTGCAAGTAGCAAGAAAATCCCTTTTGGGAGCAGAAAGATGCACAAAACTAGGAACTGAGCTTCTGTATGACCCAGCAGCTTCACTTCTTGGAATCTACCCTAAGGGCCCAACATTTCTATTCAGAAAAGATGTCTACATCCCTGTGTTCACTGTGGCACTATTCACAGCAAATCTGGAAACAACCCAAGTGTCCAGGAGCAGATAACTACACGAAGAAACTGTGATTCATATACAAAGTGGAATTCTACCTGGCTATAAGACAAGATGAAATCAGGTGATTTGCTCCTATGTGGATCTGGAGAGTATCATGCTGAATCAACTTATTCCGAAGGAAAGGGGCGGACAGCATGTTCTCTCTCATATGTGGGGTATAAAGAAACATGGTGTGGGGCCAGAGTGTCTGGGCTTGACCCTCAGCACCTTGTCTGGTGCCCCAATCCCAATCCCTGCCACCAGTGATCCCTGGGTGCAAAGTCAGTAGTAAACCCTGTAAACTCCCCAGGTTTGACCAAAATAAAAAAAAAAAAGGAAAGAGACATAGTATGGAAACAACAGCAACAGATGTACAGACAGAAACTGAGAACTGGTTTCCAGTAAGAAGCCCATCACAGGGGAGACTGGGGGTGGGGGTAGGATGCTGGGAGAATGGTGGGAGCAAGTAGATACTCTGTAGAGGATGTGGTGCTGGGGATTTTACGTATGAAACCCCACCAATAAGGGTTTTAATCCATGGTCGTCAAAATAAGAAAGAAAATAATCTCATTTGCAATTGAATCAAAGAATTAAATACCCAGGAGGAGAAAGATCTATATAATAAAAACTGTGAGATGCTGTTAAAAGTAAAGATATCCAGGGTCGGAGTGATAGCACAGTGGGTAAGGGTTTGCCTTGCACGTAGCCAACCCCGGTTTGATTCCCAGCATCTCATATGGTCCCCTGAGCACCGCTGGGAGTAAGTCCTGGGTGCGTGAGCCAGGAGAAACCCCTGTGCATTGCTGGGTGTGACCCAAAAAGAAAAAAAAAAGATATCCAGAGATGAATTCCATGTTCATTGAAAAGGAGAACATATCAAGTAGTCACTTACTAAAAGTCCTATATAAATTCAGTGCAATCCTTATACAATTTCCAGTGCTTTTTGTTTTGCTTGGGGGGTCACACCAAGCAGTGTGCTTCAGCTACTCCTAACTCAGTGCTCAAGATTACTCTTGGTGTTCTGATGCCCAGACAACGTCAGGGATGAACATTTTCTGCATGCCAAGCAGGCACTCCAGCCCTTTGAGCCACTTCCCTAGCCTGACAGGTATTTTTTAAGGAGATGAACAAAAAGATACTAAAATTTATATGGAATCACAAAAGACCTCTGAAATGTGAAGACATATTGGGGTTAAAAAGAAGAAAAATGGAGTTATCATGTTACCCAACTTCAAACTATTTTCAAAAAAAAGACCTTTCAAATAAAACAGCAATGAAATAAAAATAGACACAAATCAATGGAATAGAATTGAGAGTCCAGAAATAAACCCACTTGTCTACTGATGTTTACTCTATAACAAAGGAGCCCTGATCACATAATGGAAAAATGTTAATCTTCTCAAAAATTCATTCTGGGAACACTGAACAACTACATGCAAAGGAATTAAACTCCCTCACTCTTTAATATTATACGGAGAATAAATTGAAACTCAAATACTTGAAATATATGCAAGCCACAGAACACATAGAACAAAGGTGATAAATAAAGACTCAACAATTGGGACTTCATCAAGTTTAAAAAGCTTCTGCACAATGAAAGAAAATATAAGGAGATTGATAGGACAGTTTAATGAATGAGGCTGTCTCACACCATGCACCTACTAAGGGCTTAATACCCAAGATATCCAGAGAACACATACAATTCACAACAAAAAATTAAAAATGAATATATATGAATAGACACTTCTCTAAAAGATGGACGGCCAGCTTGAACTGATGCTCAACATCCCTTATAAGTTTGTATGTGTATGAGTATGCACACACATGGTAGCGGACCAGGCCTCATATGTGCAAAGCATGTGCTCTACCACTGGACTACAATCCCAGCTCATCACTTACAGCAAAAAGATGAATGACAAGTGTTGGTGAGGGTATAAAGTAGCTATATGACATGAAAATTGGTATAACCATTTTGGAAAATAGTATGAACTTTCCTCAAAACACTAAAAATATAACTATCTTATAATCTCACAATCCCACTTCAGAGTATCCAAAGAACATGAAGTCAGCAAGTCAGTTGCATGTGGCCTGAGGCTGTCTCTCTGTGGAATTCAGTTGCAGCACCATTTCTAAAACTGATTTGGAAACAATGAAATGCTCATCTAGGGCTGAAGCAGTAGTAGAGTGGGTAGGGGATTTTCCTTGCATCCAACTGACCCAGGGTCACTCCCCGGAACCCTATATGGTCCCCCAAACTCCAGCCAGGAGTGACTCAGAGCCAGGAATAAGCTTTGAGCACTGACAGGTATGGCTCAAAAACAAAAAATAAATTAATAAAAAAAAAGAAAGTTGGGTAATGAAGCCACGATACAATTTGCACAACATATTTATCTATGAAAATGAAATTTTGCCTTTTTACATTATAGAACTTGAGGGGATTATATAAACCAAATAAGGAGACACTGGACATGTGCAATAAAAGGAAACAGAGTTAAAAAAAAATGATCCAAATAAGATACAAGTAATTTTGACACTGGCCATTGACAATAAAATGTGTCTCATTGGGGAGGAGGATGGGGGTAGAGGGAAGGGTGGAGGGGGTTTAACGGATGGTGGGGGCAAGGAGAAAAGAGAAATTGGGAGGGTCTCCAGTGAAAGCAATACTCCCTGACCCACAAATGGTGGGCACGTCAGCCTAATGCCCCGAAAGAGAGGAACTCAAACCCACCCACCTCAGCATGACCAAAACAACACAGGCTACCTTGTATGACCACGGATTCTAGGCCTGACCTTCATTTATGTTCTCAGAAATAATGGATTCAGTGTATGTGGCCCTGTGTAAGTTGGAGAGACTAAGCATTTTCTCTAATTCCTTCTGTGAGATTCTAAGGATCGCAGAGCATCTGGTAGGTGGAGGGGGAGTAGGAGCGACCTATGTTCACGCACAGAAGGTCAGCACAGACACTGGGGCTGGCTGCCGGTGACCCTCTTAGTGTGGGCACCAGTTGGGTGGACAGTGGCTACACCTCCCTCTAGAAACCCCTTGCAGGACATGCACGTCCCTGAGGCTGGAGACAGAACTGATCATGGGTTCCAGGCCACGATCTAAGCTCTCGCCCGTCTATGTACTTCTTTTCATTATGCCCATCTTCCCTTCCCTTCCCTGCTGCTGTACCACACAGCCAGATCTTCCACCAGACACCAGAACCTTCTAGAGACAGTTTAACCAACTGCCACCCTTGAGTAAGGTCAAGTGCCAGAATCCCACAGAGACAGCCAAAACAGGATATATTCTTAGCAATCTGCTTCTCTAAATGAACGCTGACGAAGCAGTTAATGTGATCACTGGAGATCGGTCAATAACTTAGCATGATTTAGCAAAGTAAACTCTTCTGTCTTCAAGAGGAAGAAGGATCCTCTCAGGAAAGGAAGCAGATGGGGTTCTTTGAAAGAGCAAAGGGGGGCTATAAGTGGGAGGCCAAGCCAGGAGGTATGTTCCCTTATAGAAGGTTGGTTCAATGTTTGCATTCCTGCCATGAGGGCAGGGGCTTTCTTTGCCGTGGGAGATTATGGAGTTACAGCTCTAGCCTCTGTCCACAAGATGTAGAAGTCCCATCCAGTTCTGGCAATAAAGTCTAGAGAACATTGATGCATGTGGTCTCCTGGGGTGGGGGGCAAAATGAGTTCCCTCTGAGGACTGCACGGCCTGAGACCAGCCAACAGGTGTCTGTCCACAGTATTCACCATCTACACTCAGAAGTCTTAGAGCATCATGCCATACTATGAGATTCAGACAATGAGTCCAGAGGGAAAGGGTCTCACCCTGTTGGCAGTTTGTCAGCGGAAGAGTTGGGCCAAGGGTCAGGTCTTTTGTACTCTAGCTTCTATTCCTGGTCACCATATACCTGGTCACCATATACTCTTACACCATAACCTGGCATGGGTTGACAGCCTAGCGCAGCCACAGAGACAGGTTTGCCATGGTCCCCAAAGTCAGGACAGTTATTTCATTGTTCTGCACAAAATAGCCGGGAGGAAAAGAGAAGATACCAAGGAGGAAACGGCTTTATTAGTAGTCTAGGAATGTCTGGGAAACCCAGCCACGGAGAAGAGAGGCTAATACTGGCACAGGGCAGCAATCTAACATTACAGATTATCTTCTTGAAACCCAAGTGTGAAATTAATGCCTGCATCTTAATATCTGAACAATCAGAAATGTCACTCTTTAGCCCTGTTGAGGAAACGGCGGGAAGCTTCTACTGAAGGGAGGGTTTGGGAGAGGGAGAGCTCCCGAGCACTGCTGAATCCGAGCTCTATGTAAGGATACGGGTCTGAGACAGGAGGAGCAGAGGACAGGGTCAGGGGGTCTCATCCCCCCGGAGGAGACAGGAACCAGAAGTTTTTGCACAGGGCTAGGCTAGGGCAGCAGAGGGGCACTGGCGGAAGAAAAGCAACATCTGGTCATTCTCTAACCCGGAGGGCTCCGTGTCGTCTGGTATAAGGGCGCCTCCAGCAGGTCCCGGCAACACCACTACTTTTCCTGAGGTAAGAAGTTTGTTCTGTTTCGACTTCCTTCAGAGCAGAACGGCCAGTGGTCAACACCGTGGCCAGGGTCATCATTAAATGAGAGGCATGGAGTGGTCGACCTCGACACCACGACCTTCTGAGTCGAGGAGAATTCTCTTCTGAGGCAGCCTCTCATCTCAGAGCAAGAGAGTTTGGGCCCAATATGGGCCCAATCTAGAAATCACTCCCACCGTCCTGTGAGCACCAGGTGGAGAGAACTTTCTCATGAGTCAAACTTTCCCATCTTGGCCTTTGGAGAGGACCATGGGGGCAGGAGCGCAGGGTGAGGCTGTGTCTGTCCCCAGAGGAGCGGGCATTGCCTAGACCCCAGAGATGTGACCTGAGTGCTCTCCCACTGAATTCGCTCCACTTTCTGTCACAGGCAGGAAGGGAAGAGTCGAGGCAGGTCAGGGGAGCTGTTGTCACTTAATTCTTCCATCGAATTTGCTGTGGGAAAAACAATGAACAGCTTTCACTGATCCAAAAGGTATGAGGAGTGGGGGTAGGGTGGGGGGGATGGGAAATGCAGTACAACATGACTTACAGCTAGGAAATGTGAGGGAGAATAAAGGCGGAGGTGGGAGCCTTTCTCTTTTAATTGTGGGGAAGGTCACTTATTTGGAGCTAAATCGAGCACCTATTCTGTACCTATCTCACAAGCCTGAATGAGGTCACAGGTTCTGCTTTGACCTGACCAAGAGAGTCAGCTTTAGATGAGCCCAGGGTAGACCTGCTGTCCCCCAACTTGCTCTAACCTATTTTGTTCCCTTAGGCTGGTCATATGCACCCCTGAGCGACTGCCCAGGTGAGATGCTCGGAATCTGTAAAGTGTGTATGTGTGTTTCCCTACTTCTGGCTGTTGGTCCCTCCCACCTGCTCAGTTTAACAGATCCTTGCGTCAATTGAGCATGAGAGTTAAGTCTCAGTCCAAGGGCCAAGGAAACAGCTCAAAGGACTAGAATGTAGGCATTGCATGTGGAAGCCCCAGGCTTATTCCCTGCATGGTCTAGGAGTGATTTCCGTGACATGTGACATCACAGCCATGTCATGAATGACAAAAAAAAAAAAAAGGAAAAGATGAAAGAAAAGAAAAACAAATCTCATTCTGAGCTTCCAGATCACCCTTATTTCACCACCTGTCACCTCTGTCACCCTGCTGCTCCAAGCAGTCTTTGGCCTCAAGCCTATGTAGTCAGCTGACTGCAATCGGGCTCCAGTTGGGGAACAGACACTCGCTGCTGCTTTGTGGAGTGTCCGAGCCCCGAGGCTGCTCACCGAGCTGCTAAGAATGACGTCGATCTTCTCCTCTTCAGCGGACCCTTTGTCCACCTTACTCCGGTATGCTAGTAACTGCTGGCGATCCTTCAGGTCCCGGCAGGTCTAAGCACCAAGGAGACAGACAGTAAAAGCTGCATTAACAAGGCTCTCTGCCTTCCATGCTACTCCTACATTGAGCTGAGGGTCAGGGAGAGGCTGGGCGGCCACCGGGCAATCACCACCTCCTATTGGAAAGATGCCCACAGAGCTCAGCTGTCTTGAGACGGGTCTGAGTTTTATGTAGCAAACTGACAAGAGCCCAAAGAAACCAGCCAGAAGGCTGGGAAAACAATACCAGAGTGCTGGTCCAAACAAATTCTTGTCAGGCCATTTTGTCCAGTCAGTTAAAACTGACCTCGAGATTCAGGAAGGGAATAGAATGTGCCCCCTTTTTCCACTGGAGGGCTAACTCTGGGTTCCTGACTCTCCACTACGGGTACATATTTCTGGGAGACTCACTTCGATGACGACATCATGGCATTTGAACTTGGTAGCCAAGTTCAACTTTGTGTCCACATCTTCCACCAGATTGACGTACTCCTGTAAGATCTGCAGGAAGAGGAACTTCTGATTAATGCTTCTCCAACTCATAAATGGAGCGATCTAAAAGGTGGGGGACAAGAGCTTCCACAAGCAAGGCCCAGGTATGGAGGTTCCAGGACTAAATCTACATGCTGCATGGTGGCAGAGGCACCGGGCTGTCCCTCCCCAGATCCCCGCCCACTCGATGGCTTGGCTGTCACCCCCACAATGTGCCTCTGGGCGCCATCTTAGAGTACCAGCAGCCCTGGTCCAGAGACGCCCAACTGAATTCCCAAATGGATTAGTGCCCTACAGAAATGTCTCTGGAACCCAACCATTTACAATCTAGAATTCCAGAAGTGTGTGGCTGTGGCACCACCCATGATATTCAAAATGAGCAATGGACAATAAACGATCTAGCATCTGCCCCCACAGGCAGGCTTGAATGGTGGTGGGAAAATTCGAGCAAAACATAATGCCCCAAAGTAGAGAGAGAGTATTGGGGAAATTGCCTGCCATGGAGGCGGGGTCAGGACTGGGATGGGGGGGATATACTGGGGACACTGGTGGTAGGAAGTGTGCACTGGTGGAGGGATGGGTGTTCGATCATTATATGGCTGAATCTTGAACATGAAGGTTTTGTAACTGTAACTCACGGTGATTCGATTAAAAAAAAAAAGCAATGTGGAGTTTATGCCCAATTCAAACAACTTAATCAATGGCTGAATAAACAGCAGTAACAGCAGTATGCCTACATTTAAAAATAATAATAAAAATAGGGGGGGCGTAATGGGCCGTCCTTCACGCCCGACCGAGGTCGCCAGCTGCCCCCCACGGCCACGGCCCCAGAGGCACAAGGACTTAGCACAGAGAGCCACCCGCTTGGAGCAGAAAAGCAAATGGACTATGTGTTAAACTGCGCCAGCATGCCTGCCCGGAGGGGAAAGGGTGTTGTTCCATTCGCCCAATCCTCTCTGGAAAGAAAGATAGCGGCCGCACGGGAGCCTTGTGGACAGCAGGTTTGAGCTGCGGGTGGGGGCGGCAGGGACCTCATGGGAAGGGGGGACGTAATGGGCCATCCTTCACGCCCGACCGAGGTCGCCAGCTGCCCCCCACGAGTGGCTCTCCGGCACGGCCACGACTCCAGAGCACAGAAACCAATCTCTTAACTATCTAACTTTTAATAGAAATTCTTCCAGGGTTAATAAGTAAAATAGCAGAAATCCAAAACCGCGCGGCCGCAATTTATTCTTAAACCAAGTTGTAGAAAGCAAATCATTTCACAACGCTGTTTCAGCATGTCTGATTGGGGGGAGGGTCCGTAAACTCTAAACAATATTTGTGCATCTTCTATCAAAACAATGTATCTAGTCAAAGTAGACAGAGTATTAACTAGAACTCATCTGCCTCACAGGAATTGGGAGGGGTGGGAGGTGGGGTTCTATTGGGGTTCGCGGTTAAAAATAAGTATTGGTAAAGGGAAATGTGTTTGATATTTACATGACTGAGACCTAAACCCGAAAGCTCTGTAACTTTTCCCACAGTGATTCAATAAAGAAATAAATTAAAAAAAACAAAATAAAAAACAAATAAACCAATAGGAAAGGGAAAAAAATAAATAAAAACGTACTATTTGCAAAAACGTTAAAAAAATAAATTTTTATTATTTTTATTTTTATTAAAAAAAATAAAAATAATAATAAAAATAAAAATAAAAGATGGGAGAAATCCTGGAGAAGACAGAAGAGTCTGTCTGCTGTCTGTGATGCCTACAGTTCCCAGCACCACCTGCAGGACAAGTCCTGCAATGGAAAATGAGGGGGCCCCTCTGCGTACCTCCAGCTCCCCAGTAGAGGAGAGAAGTGCACCCCATCTCCATTAGCGGGCAACTCGTGCCAGCTCAGGCTTCCTCTGCATCTGATCCAGTGCTGGACCACTGCTCCCTGCGGCCCTTTCCTAACACGTGATCAGTGTGTCAAGACTTGCCAAGGGCTAGAAACAGGTGCTGCTCAGCGAGGATCAGGCCGGGCTTGTAAGCCCCAGAGGGCAGAGAACTTCCCTCCTGGACTTCTCTAGCTCCAGTTCTAATTCCGGCACGATGCTGCATTTGGCTGAGACTAGAACAGGCCGGGTCTCCAATCACCGAGCAGAGAGTGAGGCCTCCCCCAAGGTCCATTATAATGACGGAACCATTACCTGGATTGGGGCACTGTTCTTGTGCAAGATTTCTACCACCCGGTGGAAGCCAATGGGCGCTCTCTTCTTGGTGTGGCCTAGCCAATTCTGAAAAGGAAAGATGGGCAACAGCAGCTAGGACAGACGTACTCATACACTCGGGACTGACTTCAGGGTTGGTCCAGAAGGACAGGGCAAGGATGGAGGAGGGACCTGGGGACAGAGCAGTGAGGAGACATGAGCTGTTCGGAAAAGCCAAGGCACCGGAGAGCTTGGCAGAGTCAATAATCGGGAGCTTTTCTCAGAGTGGGAAAGCGTCAGAGGCATAAAGTTTAAGTTCTTGATTCTGTAGATAATAATACAGGAGGGGTACAAATATTGCAAATTGGAAATAGCCTTGACTTAATATCTGTATTACAAACTTATCTGGGTAGGGGTTAGAGCAATTAGTACAGCAGGGAGGGTGCTGGCCTTGCACGCAGTCAACCTGGGTTCAATCCCTGGTACCCCATATGGTACTCCGTGTCCTGCCAGGAGTAATCCCTGAGCACAGAGCCAGGGTAAGCCCTGAGCACCACCAGGTCTAACCCAAAAACCAATAAATGAAGATTAAAAAAAAAAGGAAATTTATAGAATTTGAGACTGCAGGGGTCAGAGAGAGAGAACAGAGCCGCTTATACCTGGCTGGCCTGGGTTTGATCTATATGGTGCTCTGAGTCCCAGGGCACTCACCTTTGTGGTAAAGAGGGCATCCACATCATTCCAGGCTCGAAGCTTGGCGCGTGCAGCCAGAGCGGTCAGCACGTACTGTTTGTCCGGAATCTAGAGATGAGTGAAGAGTAAGTGGGAGCAGCAATGCATCGGGAGAGGTAATGAAGTCTGTGAAAGACTGGTGAAATATTCCCTGCTGTGGATTCCCTGATTCTTTGCCCTGCAATCCAGAAATTTCCCTCAACACCACCTTCCCTCCTCAGCCCTAGCACTGCTACAGGCCATTTGGTCAAGCCTCTCCCTTTCCGCCACTGTCTTCTTTCTGCCGACAACCTGGACTGTCCGAGGACTCACCATGCAGGGTTGTAAGAGACACATAAATTCCAAGGAGGGACCTTACTACTATTTTGATCAAAATCAGGGCCAATTTATATGTACCTTAAAAGTCTTCTTCAGGTTGACTGGACTGCTGAAAGTCCCCTACAATGAAAGTGGAGAAGGAATTTCAGAGTTATTGCTCTTTCTAATCTCACATTTTCTTTTCCACTACTGAGGCACTGGAAACCTAGTAATGAGTTTTGGAGAAAAACTCCAGTGAGGGGTGGTGAAGGGAAAAACAAACAAACAAAAAAATCCCAGTGAGTCTAACTGGATTATCATCGCAACCAGTTCAATGAAACTGAATTTAAAATATATGGTGGCACTTCCCAACTTTATGTGAATCCTATGATCCTTATGATCATATATATCCACATGATTGACCATAAAACTCAAACCTCTTCAGAAATGTTTTAAAATACACTTTGCAGGTCCCAGAGTGATAGTACAGCCGGGAGGGCGCTTGCCTTGCACACAGCTAACCTATGTTTGATCCCTGGCACCACATATGGTCCCCAGAGTCCCACCAGAACTGACCGCTGAGTACAGAACTCTTGAGTAAGCCCTGAGTAACACTAGATGTGGCCCCCAAGCAAAAAGAAAATAAAATGCACTTGCAGCTTTTTAATTCTCTGTCACTCTTCTCTGTACTGTGCCAACCCACTGGAGATGAAGGCCCTTTGCACAGCAATGGGTCTGGCACTGGTGAGGAAGCTTGTGCCATTCTACATGCCTGCTCACTCACAACCCTTTTTTCATCCTGGCTTACCCTTGCTGCGGGCCAGGAAAGCTGCCAAGTAGACTGCCAAGAACCACATGCACCCACAGTTAATGGAGAACATCAAAATACTGCAAAATACTGGTGCCTGGCTATGTTCCTCTGGTGCGGTGCATGTGTGTGTGTGTGTGTCGGGGGGAGGGGGCGGAGGGGAGGGTTCGGAGGGGGGATAGTGGGGGCCAGGGCTTTCTTTCACACTGTGGCTGCACCTCGGCCTCTGTGTAGTGGTAAAAGCAGGAGTAGAAGAGCGTGGTGACGAGGGGCATGTTGAGGATTGAAGCCTTGCGGGGGTGCTTCCGGAAGATCTCAGTCTGTCCCGCAGCTTCGAGATGTCGATCATTTGCCTGGTGTAAATGAGTCCGGGGCAAAAGAACAAAAACAAAAACAAAAACAGATCACTGTCTGTACGTGAGAGGTGGGAGGTATTAAACTGCTTTAGTGTGACAGCCACTGAGACAGGAGGCCTGAGTGGGGGGAAAGCACGGGACAGCGTGGGACGCCAGGAATCTGTAAAAGGGGGTGGATTTCAGCTGGAGGGAGAACAGCTGGAGAAATGGGAATAAGATACGAGTGCCAGGGCAGCAGGGGAAGGCAAGGCAGATGTGTGAGGAATGGGGAGAGGAGCTGGCATGCGGGGGAGGGAAGGACGGGCTCTTGGGGACGTGCAGAACGGGACAGTTGGGAGCAGAGCACTGAACACGGACATGGGAGCGGGAACCGCGGAGATGAGCAGGCCAACCTCAATGATGATCTGGCGTTCCAGGAGAGTGTAATGGTCTTGAATGTGTGCGGAATCCTCTGCTGAAAATGGCAAACTGGGAGAGGACCAGAGAGTGAGTGCCTTTCCTCTGCTCAAACAGAAAACACCTGACATAACTCAACCACTGCATTCAGCTACGAAGTTCGTGGACACACACACACACACACACACACACACACACACACACACACACAAGCTTTGTATGTCAGAGGCCTGGACTCAATCCCCAGGACCACATAGTTCCCAGAGAACCATCAGGCGTGGTTTCCAAACAAAAAAAAAAAACAAACCAACCACACCAAAATATCCAGAAAATTCTGTATTATCTTAGTTTTTCTCAATTTGTCCTCAAACACGAGCACTTTGTGGGGTAACAGCATAAGATACTGAGTAAGAGGGTGATATTTAGTCATCGTGCAGGATCTGTACTTGGCCTTTCAACTCCTGAGCTGCTCCATTCTCTCTTACCCTCTGCATTCCTTATATGTAAAGGTACTTATGCTCAAAATCATTTCTCCTCCACACTTACCTAATGCAGGTCTTAAGAAATTCTTTTCGTTTCTCAGGGTCTTGAATATTCAAGTGCTCTCGATAATGGGATAGCTACAAAAAACAGAGAACGGCATTGAGCTGTAAGCAGACTTGCTATCCTCATGACTGAAATTCCTCATTATCGGGGATTCTTCCTAGGTGTGGGTAGAAGACAGGGAGAACAAGGAACGCATTCAAAATCTCTTCGGTTTAACTATAGCTTTAATATGGTTCTTCAATATGGCAGCCACTAGAAACACTATTGTTTGCACTTATATTTAAATTACATTTTTTTCATCTAAAATTTGGGCCTTTGGTTCACTAGTCATTTCTGTTTGGGAGGGAGTAAGGCAGTGCTGAGGGGAAGGGGGGAGTTGTGGGTTGGGGGGACAACATGCAGTTGTCCAGAAATCAGAAATGAGACTGGAAGTCCCAACTGCTAAGTATGTGCTCCAGCCCTTTGATTTTTTCCCCAGACTCTCATTAGCCACTTTTAAGTACTCAATGTAATTGTGACAGTGGCTGATAATTACAATTATCACGGACGTTCTACTGGACAGTACTGAGCTGCCGCTGAAGCACGAAGTGGGCCGAGAGCAACTAGCTTCACTCTAGTTTGGCTCTATCTTCAGGATTTAACCAAAATTAACTTTTGCTTCAGCCCTGGTCTCTGGATGGCTCAATGCCTAAATGCTTTCTTCATGTTATGACTTTCAGTAACATGAATAGGGCAAGTTACTGTGATTCCTTATCGACAAACTATTCATATTCTAGGACTAAGGAATTTACATGTAACTTAAAGAATCTTACAATAGGAACTTCAGCATAAATGTCTACATTTTTCTTGCATTTCGATTTTTTTAAGGGTATAACAGTACAATATTATTGTTTTATACTGGCAGTAAAAGGTCTACCTTTTATTAATTAATTAGTTAATTTTTTGGGGGGGTGTTGTACTTGTGCCACATCCAGTGGTGCTCAGGGCTAATTCCTGGCTCTGTGCAAAGGTTTCATTCCTGGCAGGCTCAGGTGGCCATATGGAATGGCTGGGAATCAAACCTGGGTCATGCAGTGTAAGACAAGTATCCTACCTGCTGTATAATCACTCTGGTTTCTAAATGTCTACTTTTTATTACAAGGTTTAAATGCAGCAACAATTAATGCTGATAGGAAAGCTGTACTTTTATAAACAATTATTAAAAACACCTCAAGAAAGCTGGAGAGATAGTAATGTGGGTAGGGCTCTCGCTTTGCATGCAGCCCACCCAAGTTTGATCCTCAGTTCCCCATATTGTCCCCTGAGCCCACCAGGAGTGATCTCTGAGTGCAGAGTCAGTAGTAAACCCATGAGCACTGTTGATGTGGTCCAAGAACTACCCCCCCCAAAACTCAACCAACCAGACAAAAAACCTTCAGCATTTCAAGAGAAAAGAAATAAACAGATCAGGGGCGGTGAGATAACTCCAAGGGTTGGAACACATGTTTTGCATGTAGGAGCCCCAGGTTTGATCCCCATTATATGGTCCCTTGAGCACTGCTAGACACACCCCTTGGGCACTATCAGGTGTTCTCCATACTCGTTTCCAAAGAAATAAACAGGCTTATAGTATAAATATTAGAATGAGCTTGGAAGGTGTGTCTAAGATAAGAAGACTATTAGAGATAATATTATGGAATAACCTAATCTTGCTATATTTAGTACATAATTATTCATTATTAAATAATGCAATCTTTAATAGCAATGATCATTATATTATTCAATTTTGCATATGTCTTTCAAGAAAATATCTTACTACAGAAATCTATATACTCTGGGCTGAAGTGAGAGTACAGCAGATAGGGCACTTGCAGGGTTGATCCCTGACACCCCATATGGACCCCTGAGCACCGCCAGATGTAGCTTACAAAGAAAACCCCCTACATATTCTGTAAGGATAAACTAAACGGGTCTACTAGCTTTGCTACTCTCAATGCTTACAAGGCAGAAGACCTCCAGTTTTATGTACTGAGACATGCATCATAAACCATTTTCAATGTAAACATAAGAACAAAGAAAAATAAAAATTTCTTAGGTGAAAATCAGTTGCCCCAAACATTTATGTTCATGATCAAGCTGCAAAATAATAAATTTTCAAAGAATGTGGTATGGGCACCAGGGAAGTAGCTCAGTGGAAAAGCACTTGCACTGCATGTGTGTAGGCCTGGGTTTGATCCCCAGCACTGCAGAATAAAATATGCAGAGAAAGGAAGTTCCTTACAGATTCAAAACACAGAGATAAAAAAATATAAACAAAAGGCTTTCTAAAATAATTGCTAGAAGGACCGGAGCACAGTGGGTATAGTGCATGTGGCCAACCCGGGTTTGATCCCTGGCACCCATACAGTCCCCCTAAGTACCACCAGGAGTGATCCCTGAGCACAGAGCCAGGAGTCAGCCTGAGAATGGCCAGGTATGACCCAATCTCCACTACCCCCACCCAAAATGTTTGAAAAATGAAACAACTGCTAGAGACTGATAATCATTTCAGTCAGTCCATAAAAGATATTTGCAGATTTAGGTTCTGTTTACGAAGTATAACTGGGAAACCTTTTCCTGAGTTATATTTGGCTGGGCCAAGCAGATCACCATCACTGTTAAGTCATGCTGAGCATGAGCATCTGAATTACCACAGATGTGTGCTACAGGGACTAAAGAAATGACCCTACCCCTGAGGGCACAGAAAAAATGCTTAGCTTGGCACTGAGCCAAGCACTGAAAAATGAATCACTTGTTTTAATATTACAATTCAATATTTGGAAAAATTTATTCTTCTATTCTAGGAGTTCATTCTATAATGGAAAAATAATGCGCCAAGTTGACTTTTGTACTAAGTCACTCAGCTTTAGTAAAAAGGGCAATAGTTATATTGGCCCTAGCGATAATATAGTGAGTAGGGAATTTGACTTGCATGGCATCCCATACGGTTCTCCAAGCACCCCAGGAGTAATTCCTGAGAGCAGGGCCAAGGGTAACATCTGAGCATCGCTGGGTGTAACAAAAGGGGGGGAAAAAAAAGAAAAAAAGGAAATAAATGTGTTATATTATTTATTTGGTTTCTTTTCTTTCTTTCCTCTTCTTTTTTTTTTTTTTTTTTTTTGGTCCATACCAAAATGATGCTCAGGGGTTACTACTGGCTCATTCAGGAATTACTCCTGGTAGGACTTGGGGGACCATATGGGATGCCTGGAAACTATACTATCTCTCCAGTCCTAATTATTTGGTTTCTTATCCCTGTTAGCTTTATTTTTATTTATTTATTTATTTTTCCCTGTTAGCTTTAAACATTTTCTTTGGTATCTGTAACTTCTATAAATCAGTAGTTAGCAACTCAAAAAAAATACATACACACATATCTATATATCTTAATCTATCTATCTATCTATCTATCTATCTATCTATCTATCTATCTATTCTCAATAGTGCTCAAGGCTTACTCCTGGCTCTGTGCTCAGGGGATAATATGGAATGCCAGGTCACCCACATGTAAGGCAATAGCCTACCCATTGTACTATCAAAATAATCTGTTTGTAAGCCCAACCAAAGAACATAGAGAAACCTAACAGTACATCATTTGGATTATGTTCTCTAGGCTTCCTGGATGCTCTCTTCTGGATTTAATTAATACCAAAAGAAAGGATGCAGAGAAATCTGCGTGGGGATTTGGAGGCCGGGTTGAGACCGCGAGTGCTGTTGAAGAGGGTCCCGGCTGAAAGAGAGGGCACTTACCGCCAGCTCCTCTGTCCGGTCCAGGAACCTGGGGAGAAGCAGAGGGAGCAGGGCAGTTTACTGACGTGCCAGCACAGCTGCACACAACAGCACGGCTGTCCCAGGAGAAGCACAGTTCAGTCTGACTTCTCTCAGCGACGCAGCAAAGCTCATGCCCTCTTAACTTTCCACCCCCAGCAGCCCCCTGAAAAGACAGGCTGGCTCCAAGGTCACAGGTCTCACAGTTATTGGAGTCAAATCAACAGCAAGGACACAAAGGTATTCTGGGGCATGAATAACTGTCATGTTAACAGGTCTGACAGGAAGATTCAGAGCATCTAAGAATCTTGGCCTACAGTAATCCAAGGAATATTTAAAAAAAAAAAGATGAATTTTGGGGCTGGAGCAATAGCACAGCAGGTAGGGCATTTGCCTTGCACGCGGCTAACCCGGGTTCGATTCCCAGCATCCCATATGGTCCCCTGAGCACCACCAGAGGTAATTCCTGAGTGCAGAGCCAGGAGGAACCCCTGAGCACCACCGGTTGTGACCCAAAAAGCCAAAAAAAAAAAAAGATGAATTTTTCTCTAAATATTATCTTGAACAGATTCTTCTATTCCATTTCCTGTTATTATATTATACTATACTATAATATACTTATAGAATTATAATAAAATATTATATTATATATAATAGAATATATTGTTATGTCCCCACAGTGGAGGACTTTTTAAAAATTTTTAAATTTTTCTGCAAGGGTGGTGGGGCTGGCAGGCTCCTGCTGTGGCACTCGGGTGGGCGTGACTCCTGGTGGTGCCTGGGGGACTCAATGCAGTGCTGGGGATGGAGCCTGGTGGGCTGCATATAAGGCAAGAGCAAGTGCTCCCTTCCTGCTCTCTTTACAGCGAAGCAACAGGGCTTTTTGTTTGGATTCCTTCCTACTCAAGAGTACTGCAAGGAACATCATTGCTTTAGGGTGGAAGTGATGCTTAATGAAATTCTGTGGGAGGAAGCAAGAATGGAAAAGAAGAAAGGAAAGAAAGAGGGAGGGAGGGGGCTGGAGAGATAGCACAGCGGGTAGGGTGTTTGTCTTGCACGCACCTGGCCCAGGGTTTGATTCCCAGCATCCCATATGGTCCCCTGAGCACTGCCAGGGGTGACTCCTGAGTGCAGAGCTAGGAGTCACCCCTGTGCGTCGCTGGGTGTGACCCAAAAAGAAAAAAAAAACAAGAAAGAGGGAGGGAGGGAGAAGAAGAAGAGAGGGGGTGGGTGGGGAGAAGGAGGCGAGGGATGAAAGCAGGAAGCAGAGGTAGGGCAGGAGGGGGAGAGGGGACAAAGTCTCCCTGTTGAGCAGGTCTCTGCCACATTTCTGGCTGATCAGCTACAGTCCTGACCTGATCAACAGACCTGCTTTCCCTACTCTGGTCTTTGGGGTACTGCTGCCCGGCACTGGAGTCTCTGGGTACCCGGGCCATCTGCCAGTATGAAAGAATCTACCTCCTTCCCTGACACTGAAGAAGGATGTAGGGGATAAAGAGATAAAGGACAGTGGGTGGGCATTTGCCTTGCACACAGCAGACCCGGGTTCAATCCCCAACATTCCAAATGGTCGCCCAAGCCCACCAGGAGTGATCCCCGAGTGCAGAGCCAGGAGTAAGCCCTGAGCATCATTGAGTGTGACCCCCACAATAAAGGAAAAAAAGGGGAGTTGGCTAAGTATGGCCCCCAAACAAAAAACAAACAAAAACGACATAAGATACATTTGTGTTAATCTAATGGTGGGAATGACTGAATTGACACAGGAAAGGCAAAATGATAAAGACACGTGGCCCCTTCACCCCCACCCGCCTTGACCCCAGATTTGCCTGCCTCTTCCTCTCCACCTATTGGAACCCTACCTAGTCTTATGGGTCCAACTCAGTCCCTAGCTGCTTCCATGAGTATATCCTGACTGAAAGTTTTATTTGCTTTTGCTGCTTTTATGGTTTTTCCCACTGGGACCAAGGAATAAAACATGCCTTTATTCTAAGTTTTTAAATTTTTTATCTAAGTCTTTTATTGTAATTTAAAAATGTTTACAATACACTAATACTATAGGGCCAGAGCAATAGCACAGGGGTTAAGGTGCTTGCCTTGTACACGGCTGACCCAGGTGGATCCCCTGCGCCACATCTAGCCCCCTGAACACTGCCAGGAGTGACCCCTATGTACAAAGGCAGAAAAAGCCCCCGAGGATCACCACATGTATCCCTCAAATAGAATAAATCAAACAAAAATTACAATTGCTACCGACTCGGCCTTCTGCTAAGTGCTTTGTACACAATAACTCTTTCTCCTTCAGATGGTCCATGGAGTAGGCATTGTCCTCTCTCCTTCTTACGGAGGTGAGAATTAATGATTGGCAGGGCTGAGGAACTTGGTCCAGGTTACAGGCAGCGGCAGGGATGAACCCAAGCAGCATAGCCACCTCCTCACAGGCTGTGGTTATTATGTCATTGGGTCCCCGTGCTGTTGAACAAGCATTTCCAGACTCAAGACAGGGGCTTCTCCGTCTCTGTACTCCCAGCATGAAGATACTCACAAACATCATAGAGACTATCAGTTCTTACCTAAAAAGGTCTAAGAGCAGCTTCTGGTCCCCCATCTCTTTCAGGAAGTGAATGAAGTGTCTCAGGGCAACCTCCCGGACCTCCAGCTCCCGGAAGAGGATCTCTGCAGGCAGGAAGGAGAAGACGGGTCGGAATGGTGGAAGCTTGTTCCTTGGGAGGGAACTGGTCCTCTGTCCAAACCAGTCAGTTGCCAGAAATTGCCTCTGGAACTATGGCTCAACCCACCAACCCCACACTCCAGGGCAGCGCTCAGTCACTGAGCCAGCTTGTAGCCTTCACCAACCCGAGCCACAGCACTTACTGTAGGCTTGGACTTTTTTGAACCAGTCTTGTGATTTTTATACGTAAGATCGTAAAATATGTCATCCATGGGAACACAGTCACCTCGCAGTCCGTGACTAACAGGGCTGCAGAGGTAATGCCTCTATCCCCCTAAAGGATGATCAACTGCCCAAGAGATGTGGATGCTCGAAAGTCTCAGGCCACTCATGGTCTCTGAAGAAAACTCAAGGCTCTCCCTGCCAGTGAGGCTGACTGAAGATTTCTCTCATTCCATGCTCACCTTTGCTCAGCGTCCTCTTCAGGAAGATCAAAACCTGGAAGAAAAGAATGAAATGCCCTGTGCACCAAGTATTGAGAGGAGTCAGTCAGCAATTCAAGAGGCACCGTGGAGGGGCCACACAACAGATTTACCTATGGGATAGAGGAACAGGGAGGGACGAGCTCAAACTGTGCCCAGGGACACTGCACACCCATGCCCTAATGGTGAGACACCTGCTCTGACAGACTCCCTGACACACCTCTCTCCTCACATGATTTCTGGGAAGAGTAGGCAACCTACTACTTCCTGTCATAACCAAGCTTCTCACATAGGCCCACTGCATCAGCCTGGCCTCAGAGCATGGGTGACAGAGAATTCTACCCATTGAGGGCAAGTTCGGGCTTTTCACTTGACATTTAGCCCCAAACATCCCAGTTCATTCTGAGGGGACATTCAGAAGAGGATGCACAGACAATTAAATCCTCAAAACCTACCGCAGTGATGACATTTCCGTCATGCATACTAACTGCTTCTTCGAGTAGCTGTAACTTGTCCTGTAACGAGCGGAATCTTTCGAGTGAACAGACCTGGAGAAGTAAGAACAGAATGAACATAATAGGAAAGTGCTTTGCTCTGTCGTCCTGTCACCAGACACTGAAGACTGGGGTGGCAAGAGCCTCCTCATTCTTTTTATTTTTTTTTATATAGGAGTACTGTTATTTATTCAGCCATTGATGATGCTGATTGAGCTGGGCATGAACTCCATGTTACTTTAAAACAATTTTTTTTAATTGGATATCCATGAGATAGACCATTACAAAGATGTTCATAATTGGGTTTCAGTCATAAAATGATCTGGCACCCATCCCTCCATCAGTCCACACCTCCCACCACCAATGTCCCCCATTTCCCCATGACCATCACCCATCCCCAAACCCCCTACCCCCAGTCTCCCTCTATGGGAGGCACTTTCCTTTTTGTTCTCTCGCTCCTTTTCCTTTTATGTATTATGGTTTGCAATATAGGTGCTAAGAGGTCATGGTGTTTGTTCAGGGCATTAGTATTTTTATCAGGACAGTAAGGCTGGAGTAGCTTTTCAATTGGGTGGCAGCTTTGGGGTGTGGATGTGAGTGTTAAGGCTTCTGGAAGTACAGGTTAGGTAGGGGGAGGCAGCCCATCCTGACCCTAAGAAAGCCTGAAGATTTCAGTCACAAAACCCGCATACCAAAATTTTCAGCAGATTATATCTTGGTAAGATCCATCTTGAGACAGTGGAGTCAGGCCAGGAGTACGGCAGCACCTTCTCATTCTTATATTACGGTTCCCAGCACTCATTGATAAATCTTCACTCACCCCAAGCCCAAGACTTTCTTCTATTTTTTTATTTTCAGAAGTTCTGGGGATGGTACCTAGGGTACCATAAATGCAACATATGTATTCTACCACTGAGTCACGTTCCAGCACAGTCTTAGAAATTCTACAGTTGTAGTACTTGCTTGCATTTAGGCCTGTGTTCCATTTAAACTCATTATCTTATTTAAAAATATAGGTAAAGGTAAAGGTAAAGGCCCTCCCATTGTTCATCGATTTGCTCGAGTGGGCCCAGTAACGTCTCCATTAGAGACTTTGTTGTTACTGTGTTTGGCATATCGAATACGTCACGGGTAGCTTGCCAGGCTCTGCTGTGAGGGCGAGATACTCTTGGTAGCTTGCCGGGCTCTCCGAGAGGGGCAGAGGAATCGAACTCGGGTCGGCCGTGTTGGCTGCGTGCAAGGCAAACGCCCTACAGCTGTGCTATCGCTCCAGCCCTATACTTTTATTTATTTGGAGAGGTGTTTAGGTCACACATGGCAATGCCCAGAGCCTATTTCCAGCTCTGTGACTAAGGGGTCACTCCACCAGTGCACAGGGGTCTGAATGTGGTATTGGGAAGCAATCTGTGGTCAGCAGCATGCAAGGCCAAGAGTTCTGTCCTGGCTCTGTGTTCTGCACTATACTATCTTTCCAGCCCTTAGGTTCATTATTATTATTATTATTTTATGTCAAGTTTCCCAAATTGATTTACAGATTTGATGCAAACCCAATCAAAATCCCAGCACCTTTTTGGGTAGATAAACAAGCAGATACCAAAATCTTGCATAAAAACAAAGGATTTAGAGGAGCCAGAAAAATTCTGGAAGAAAACCAAGCCAAAAAACTAAAATGAGCAGCTTGCAAGGTTGACTACAAAGCTATAATTACTGAGTGTTTATGGCATAAAGGAAGAAAAATTGAGCAACTGGAATGAAAATTCCAAAAACAGGTGGTCAACTGACTTTTATATGGTTAACGAGGTTTTCAACAAAAGCACTGAGGTAATTCCAAGTGGAAGATGGGACTCCAACAGAGTGGAATTAATTCTCCATTTGATCAACAGAGTGGACTCCCCAAAACAGAGTATTACAAGGAACAAAAAGGAAACGTAATCCTGATCTGACGCATAACCAGATGGTAACTCACAACAGAGCACAGACATAAACCAAAGACCAACTACTACCATTCTTTATCTTTCATTCTTCATTTTATTTTTACCTTCTCTCCCCACCCCCTACCCAATACACACACTTGGATGTTTTGGCTTTTGCACTTTTTGATGCATTTTTTGGCTTTTGATGCTACTTTATGGCTGTTTAGCTGTCTTTTGTTTGGGGGCCACACCTAGCGGTGCTCAGGGCTTACTCCTGGCTCTGCACTTAGGGATCGCTCTTGGCGATACTCAGGAACTATAGGGGGTGCCAGGAATCAAACGTAGATCAGGCATGTGCAGGCAAACTCCCTAACCACTGTATTATCTCTGCAGACCTCAGCTACTGTTGTGATGAAGAGAAGTCACTCACCCTTGGCTACAGCGCTCACACACTTAGTTATGGTGCTCTGAGGCCAGGGGTGGAGGTATTGTACACTTCGGCTGCCATGCTTGCATAACCTTAGCTGTGCTATGCTAATTTTAAACACTAGCTGTGATGCCAGGAATCACAAATGACAAGGCTACTCCACCCAACTCAGGTTTGTGAGTGAAGTTGCACATCAAAATTCTGATTTTTATAAAATATTTGTATCAACTAAAGAACTGTGATTTACGATAACGTTAATGATGGTTTCTTGTGTATCTTCTTCCAACATCCTATGGCCCAGAGATTTATATTTAGACCACATTTGGAGGTACTCAGGGGTTACTTCTGGCTCTCTGTTAAGGGTCACTCCCGGTGATGCTCAATGAACCATGTGATACCAGGATGGACCTGGGGCTCCCGCCCAGTAAGCTTTGTCTCAGACAACATCCTTTTTTTTTTTTTTTTTTTAAGATTTTGGGTCATACTTGGCAATGCTCAGGGTGACTCCTGGCTTTGCACTCAGGAATCATTCCTGGCAGTGCTCAGGAGACCATATGTGGTCCTGAGGATCAAAACCAGATGGGAGCATGTGAGGCAAGTGCTGCACCCACTGTACTATCTCTCCAGCCCCCCAGCCAAAGTTCTTAAAAGTACTATTTTCCTCTTATTCATCATCCCCCCACCCCCCGCTCCCCAAATCAAAAGTGGAGATTCAAAATCGGTGAGGCTGGCTTTCCAACTTAGAGGATTTATTTTACTCCCGAAAAACCACTTCATTCAACAAATACAACTGAAGAAAGATGTTAGGAAGTCCTCCCTAGGTTAAATAAGTCAGAAAAAGGAGAACAAATACCAGATAATCTCACACATTTGTGATATGCAGAGAAACACAACAAAGAGTCACAGTATTGAGTAATGACAAAGCTGTGGACATAGATTACAGAACTGAGATCCCCGAGCTGGGGTAGGAGTGGGCAAGGGAGGTGGAACGGAAGTAACAGGGTGGAGGCTCTTGGGCACTTTGGCTGGTAGTGAGGTGAGGAGTGCTGGACATAAAACCATAAATATTAACACTATTGTAAATATGCAAACTATAATTTGGAAAAATAATGGGAAAAAAGGGCTGGTTGGAGAGGTACCAGAGTGTGAAAGGCACCTGCCTTGTATGAGGCTGGCCTGGGTTCAATTCCTGACACTCCATATGACAGAGTGATCCGTGAGCACAGACCCAAGAGTAAGCCGATAATAGCCTGGTGTGGTCCCCAAACAAAAAACACAGCGGGCCAGGTGCTCTGCCTTGTACACACCCAACCTAGGTTTAATCCTGAACTGTTAGTGTAAAGCCTGGAGTAAGCCGTGACCACCACCAGGTGTGGCCCCAAAACACCCTTAAAACCAGAAAAGAAATTGGAGCGGAAGAAAAGAACCCTCCCTGAATGGCTCAGTGGCTGATGGACCCCCATGGCAGGCTTGAGGCTGTTGAGTTCAACCCCTGGTGCCACCATATGTGGCCAGAGTGACAGTGGCAGCTCTGTTGTCTGTGTTTGACAGCTCAGATGTCCAAGATCCCTGGTGTCACGAATGAATTCTGGTCACACTACAGCCAGGTGTGTGCAAGCATAGCAACTAAGATCAGATGTGGCCAGAGTGTGGCTCTAGGCACGCATGCATGAGCACTGAGTCACGCCCAGCAAGCACTACAACCAGAACGCATGACCACGGGATGGAGACCCCAACAAGCACTGCCATAGGATGCATGCCTGCCACCCCCACCCGCTGTCAGCACTTCGATGCGTGAGCACATCAAGTATGTGCACAAATCCTAGACATTGCCACGGGAACACCAACTGTGGAAAGTGGGGGAATCAGAGGAAGTAAACAAAGAGGGATGGAGAGAAGGCTCAATAGACTGGGCACAGTCTATTGCCTTAGGAAGGCTTGGGTTTGAGCCCTGGCTCTGTACTGTCTCCTAAGCACTGTCAAGAATGGCATGTGAGTATCACCAGGCATAACCACCAGCCCTATAAAATCCTTTTTTTGGGGGGGGGAGGTAGGGTCTCTCTGGTGGTGCTGAGGGTCCCTGGGACTATACCAAATAGTACCCAGGAGGTCGTGTTAGGACAGGACTGAGCTGGGGGCCCTGTGCACGTGCCCCAGACTTGACTCTACCTCCTTGGCCCGGCACAAGAATTCTTTCCAGGGGACTGACCTTGCCCTTCCGGAGGCGTCGCACTGTGTCCGAGATGCTCCAGTCGTTGCTGTAATCCTAGGGAATTAGGAATACGTGAGTCCCAAGGAGCATGGGGTCAGAATCAACAGCACTTGAGCTCTGAACTCAAACCCAGTCTTAGTTTCTAAAGGGGAAACGTTTTACCAAAAGTAAAGGCTGAAAAAGAAGAATTGGAACAGCCTGAAGTTTCAGAAGCAACTGGAACAGGGATAATCACATAGCAAGGGGATAATGGATCAAGAGAAAAGGAATCAGATGACAAAACTGGCAACCCAATGCCTGTCTGTTCATAACTTCAATGATAATTCATCACACGAGGAACCCTACAATTTGCTTCTTTTATGTACTTTATGGGAATACGAGATTCCACATATTTTCAGACAACAGTGATGACCAAAAGCTTCAAAGGGCAACCTTCAAGAGGCAGGATAATGGGAAAGAAATGTGGTCAGGAATGAATCAGAAATTAAAAAAAAAAAAGTCAAACAAATAAAATAAAATAAGCAGAACTCAGGAGGTCTGGTGGTGGAGGTGGGGGTGCTACTGGTGATTCTCGGTGAAAGGGGAGTGGTGGCTCAAAGCAGGGGCCTGAAGAAGCAATGCTGCTTGGGCGCTGAGGTCCCGGGGATACTGGACCACCTGGTGGTACTGGAGGCCTTCAGGGGTCAGGGGTCAGGGTGCTGGGACTCGAATCTGGATCATGCATGTGCTATGTATCCTAACCACTGTTCTATCTCCTGGCTCCAAAAATGAGGTTTCTGGGTCTAATTTCCAACATTTCCTAGCTGTCAGACTCGAGGCAGCCCAGATATTTAGAAATTCAGTTTTCCTATCTACAAAAGGGGATTAGAATACTTGCTCTGAAACTTGGGAAGCTTAAGCCAGGTGACATATATCAAAGCACTTCAGACCCGTGTATAGCGTCAGCCAGTAGAAGATCCAACTCACCCTGAACTCCCCCTTGGGCCGACCCAGCTCTGGAGCGTAGCTTTTGGCAGTACTGTCTGAGAGAGCTGGAAAACAAGAGGCCACTAGTTCACAAGGATACCACCTTCTTGCAGTTCCTCTCACCCGTCACTTCCTTCTGACATAGAATTTTAGGACCATAGGCAGCCAAGCCAAGATACCCAAGGAGCCCTGAGTCCCTCCCAGGGACAGCCTCCCTACAACATACCCCTTGGTTGAGCCAGAAAGGTCTCTACACCTGACCTACTATCAGAACATTTCTCTAATAATGGAAACATGATCGAAGTGGCAAGTTGCCAGTTGGACTTCTGACCTCCCCGCATTGTACCACATATCAGTAACACCTCCCGCAGCCATCCAGAGGGGCAATGCCTACCATCCGAAAGAGACTGGAAACTTCCAAGTCTACTTCTCCCTAAAGGTAAAGAGCACATGAGGGAAGAGGTCAGTGGGAAGAGGTCACCAGTCCACACCAGAGTAGTCAGATACAGCGATGGGTGCGGGATAGCCCTTGGTTATGCTATGTAGAATCATAAGGTAAAGGCCCTCCCGTTGATCGTCGATTTGCTCGAGCGGGCCCAGTAACGTCTCCATTGGAGACTTTGTTGTTACTGTGTCTGGCATATCGAATACTCTCGGTAGCTTGCCGGGCTCTCCGAGAGGGGCGGAGGAATCGAACTCGGGTCGGCCATGTTGGCCGCGTGTAAGGCGAACGCCCTACCCGCTGTGCTATCGCTCCAGCCATAAGGCATGAAAAGCATTTTAGTGGGGCTAAGAGATCATATGGGTGTCAAGAGTGCTTGCCTTGTACACAGTCACCCCAGCTGAAACTTGGCACTACACATGGGTCCCCAGCACTGCCTGGAGTGGTCCCTGAGCGCAGAACTAGGAGTAAGCTCTGAGTACCACTGAACGTAGTCCCCAAACAAAAAATAAGACAAACAGCTAAAAAAGCTTTTAGGGGCCAAGCATGTGGCTCCAATGGTCAGGTACATCTTAGATAGCACATGTGAGGCCCTGAGTTTGCTCCTCCCCCAATACCAGGTGTGGTCCTGGTGACCCAGCATCAGGGCTGGAACAGTGCCAGGAGGGGTTCCAGATATTTCCCACCCCCAGTAATGCCAGTCATGGCCCAAATCAACGAATACATTAAAAATCTTTTACTTATTAAATACAGGTAAATAAAAAGCCTTAAGTTAACTTCAAAAATTTGAGGTGTCATGAAAAAAAAAAGGCAGGGAAGATTTTTTAAATGGTTTAAAAATATACATAAAATCTAGGATTTTTTTTTTATCACATTCATTAAGCCCAGTTTGGCGGTGCTGAATATATTCATATTCATTTCCAGAACATTCCATTTCCAGGTCTTTTTAAAAATCACCCCAGCTGAGAGTCTGGACCCATTCGACTCTCCCGTAACCCCAGTCCCTAGTCAAACCTCTCTTCTCCTTTGCCTCTCTGAACATGATAATTTTAGGTATCATGCAGTAATAAAGGCATACGATATTTGTCCTTCTGTGCCCAGCTTATTTGAATTGGAAAAAGTCTTTAAGGTTCATTTCAGACTGTAGTGTTGGACCAGAATTTTTTTTCCCCTTTCTGTGAATACATTTCCGTTGCAGGAACATTTTGCTCACCTATTCCCCAGCCAATGGATTTTTTAGTAGCTGTTCCCATCTTTTGGTTATATGAGCAAAGCCGTTAGTTAGAAATGCTGGCTTTTGTGCCACTCCTTGGATCTTTGTGGTGGATACTGTAAAGTGACTGTCTGGATCTCAAGTGTAACTATCTTTCCACTCTGTTTTTCATTTTCACAACCAGGGCCTCAAGGACAGGGGCAGGGAGCAATTCTGACCAAGGTAAGTGACGTCAGTCCATGTCACAGGGTCAATGTCAATTTTGCTCATCATGTTCTAGTCTAAGCCCTCTGAATTTCTCTTGCTCCCAATCCCCAATAGCTAGCTCCACAGAGAAGTCATCACCTGTCAATAATCTTTTCCTCTAGAGTAAATAAAAATTTTAACCTGTTATTCTGCAAAAACTGAAAATAACGAAGGTTCTGTTTCCTTTTAACTGGCACCCTTTACCTTTAAAAAAGTTGCTCAGGGAGTAGGTAGAAGCAGGTTTGGGGAGTTGTGCATAGGAGGAGAAGCTGTTTCGGCTCTTCAGCTGATCCCGTGTGTCGTGATTTGACCCACTGTTACCCGCAGTCTCTTTGATGGACCACGAGATACCTGTGGGGCGGTAAACACCGAATCAAGTCATTTTTCTGCCAAGTGAAACCTAAAAACAAGCATTCCACTGACTGTAAAAGCTTTTCACCAGAGGCCCTGAGGCTTGGCTGACACAGACTCCAAAAACTGAGGTAGGAGAAATACTAGAACCAAAGAAACTAATCAACTGAACAAGGGCGGAAACGATTCAAGTGGCTCTCTAACATATGAAGAGATACTCAACCTTATTCTTTCTTTGTTTTGGGGCTTACACTGGGGTTCTCAGGGTTTATTCCTGACTCTGTGTTCAGGAGTGACTCCTGATGCTCAGGGGGTCATATTTGGTAGCAGGGATTGAACAGGTGTCAGCTATATGCAAGGCACAGGTCTTATCCCCCATATTAACGTTGGAGACAGCCCCAACGTGGCTAAGTGGGTCCCTGCCTTCCTCACCACTGCAGGTGTTGCCCTGCTGAAGCTTTGAGCTTAAGTAAGAGGACGGCCTCCCAAATCGAGACAGACCACTCTTCGGGCCAGGGTATAGAGTAGCTGCAGTCTCTTGCTGGAGCCTCCAAACAAGGCTTCAACTTCTCTTTCATTTATTTTGGGGGTCCACATCCAACAGTGCTCAGGGGTTCCTCTGGCTTTGCACTCAGGAGTTAACACCTGGCAAGCTTGGGGGACCACATGGAATGCAGGAGATCAAATCTGGGTCAGCTGCATGCAAGGCAAACACTCTACCCATAGTACTATCTCTCTGCCCCCTCAACTTCACTTGTAATAAAATAAGTATACAAGTAAAACGATACCTCTGGTCCCCGTAAAGAAAGGCAGAGATTTGAATGCTTTCTAATCCCCCGTGTTGGCAAGTCTCCGATGGAAACAGCCCCCTCCCACACTGCTGGTGGGAGCAGACTCAATCCCGTGCCATGGAGGGCCAAGGGGCAGTAGCAGTATTGGGGCAGTATCAATTCAGTACACAGGCAGATACCTTCTGCCCATGATGCTATTCTTCAAGCAGCCACTCCAGATGCTCCCACATGGCAGAACACAGTTCCAGTTCACTCAAGGGAAGGTGTAGAACCGATACCTCCAGAGTGCAATGAATAAGCCTCCCCCCGGAAAACCATTTTAATGATTATGGTTTCCCCCTTGCCAGGGAAAATACAAAATTACTGATAACAATCTGAACAACAAATGATGGGAAATATCTAAAATTCACCATTAGTGCACTGGTTAAATAAATCATGGCAAATCATACAATTTACTTTTGTATGTTACTATTTTACTTATTACCGTGTGTGTGTGTGTGTATGTTGGAGCTGTACTTAGGCTTATTCCTGGCTCTGTGCTCAGGGATCACTCCTGGTAGAGATTCAGTGACCATATGGGGAGCTGGATCGGACCCAGGTCAGCTGCATGTAAGGTAAGGCCCTACCCGCTGTATTATCACTCCACCCCCTGTGCTTCTATTTTAGAGAGAAAATGATAAAGTTCTAAATGATAAGTAGTAATCTGGGAAGATGGCTAAGCTATAATGTCAAGTGAAAAAAGTGTAAAGCTACCACTAGTGTGGAAAAAAAGTAGGTAAAACTTATTCTGCACATCCCCAAATGCAAAGAGAACCTTTCTTTTTTCTTTTTTTTTTATGGTTTTAGGGTTGTACCCAGGGGTTACTTGGCTCTATGCCCAGGAATCAATCCTGGTGGTGCACAGGGGACCACATGGGGTGCTGGGGATCGAACCTGGGTTAGCCACATGCAAGGCAAGCACCTTACCCACTGTCCTAAATCTCCATCCCCACAAAGAGAACCTTTAGATTAAAACACAGGAAGGGGCTGAAGAGAGCTCAAAAGGCTGGAGCTCAGTTGCTTGGGATGTGGGAGGCCGAGCAAGGGTCCAGGCCCCGCATGGTCCCTCAAGCACTGTCAGGACTGATCCCTGAGCACAGAGCTGGGAGCAGCCCAAGTACCACTGGGTGTGGCTGCCAGATCAAAATGAATAAATGAAAAAGGGAATACATAGGAGGGAATGAGCACTGCTTGCGGTCACTGGCTGAGGTTGGGAACTGAGCAGAGGCATGACCGTGTGTGGGAAGGAAACTCACCGCTGTATGCCTTTGACGCTTTTGGAGTTTTAAAATCACATGACAGCACCTCCAGTTTAAAAAGATACCAACCCCTTCAAAAGTACTATAAAAAAGTAGATGGATTCTGCAAAAGTGTTGTGTGGTAACAGTGAGCGGCCAGCCATTGGAACCTGGTGGCGAGGGCAAGTAGTTTTGCAGGCTAGTTCCAAGTTAGCCCTTTCCCAGTGTGACTGCATGTCAGAAGCACTTGACACAGAGAGCAATTACTACAGTAATTGCAAATAGAGACCCTCACAGAAGAGACCCATCACAAAAGAGACCCTCCCTGACACCCCCACAACTCACTGAATCAGAATCATATTTCTGTCAATAACCTACTGGGAAAACTAAGTGTTTATCTACCTCTCCAGAAATGACCGTTTCCTCATTATGAAAAGCAAAACCTCCAATCCAGTCCATCTTTCAAAAATTAATCAATCACACTATTATTATCCCAGTCACAGGAAGATACAGATCCCTAAAACCTAGGGATCTCATTTTTAACAGACACCCTGAGGGAGTCTGAAGTAGCTAGCCAAGCATTAGCCCCAGGACAACCCACCCACAGAGCCATAAGGAAAGCCATCCTCCTGTCCCTCAGCCCCTTTTCCCAGCATTACAGTTCCAGAGCTGGGACGAGGCAGGGGAGTGCATGCTTTACTAGTGGGAGTCCCTGAGTTCACCAGGAGAACCGTCTGGGACCGCAGGTGTGTCCCAAAGACAAGCCAACACTCCTGAAGTGTGCTATCTGAAAATAGTCTAACCTTTCCCCTTTACCTGACACTCACTGAGGAGTCAGACATGCTGGTGACAACCCTCGAAGCCGCCCCTCCCAGGCCCTCTTGGACTTACTTCCCACAGGCTCCCCGCTCCAGCTGACTCGCTCCAGGTCATCGTCATCATCGTTATCCACGAAGTCTCGGAGGCTATTCACTGCCCGCTTGGACTCCTTTAGCTGCAGAGACACGGGGGACTCAGCCAGTCACCACTTCCCACTTGGGCTAGTTATTACCAAGAGGGCGGACACTTTCACCCCCCAACCACGGAAAGCAGACCCGTGAGGCACGTGCCAATACAGCACAATGTGTTTTAGCCAACACTGCAGTCCAGTGGCAAAGAGTTAGGAGGGATGAAAGTCACTTTTGAATGGGAATCATATTCCTGTCAATGACCTGCTGGGAAAACTGAGTTTATTTACTTCTCTGGAAATGGCTGCTTCTCCATTTGTGAAAAGCAAAACCTCCAATTTCGTCTTTCAAAAATAATAAATTATACTTTATGATAAAAGACTTGGGGTTCCTGGGGGAAAAATGGAAAGAAATACATCACCTTAAGAATGTAATGTAATGGGGTCAGTGAAATAGTACCAGTAGGGCACTTGCCTTGCTTATGGCAGACTTGGGTTCAATCCCTGACACCCCACAGGGTCCCCCCAGCACTGCCAGAAGTGATTCCTAAGTACTGCAAAGTATGGCCCATCAACCCCCACACCTGAAACCAAAAAAGCCAAAAACAAAAAAAACAAAAAACAAAAAGCAAAAAAAAAACATGCAAAGTAAGAAAGCCAGAGATGGTGTTTTGCAACTCCTATGCTCTTTTCTCAGTTCCTCTGCTCTTCTCGAAGGAGATTTTTCAGAAGCTCAGACTCCAACATTTCAGAGCCTCATGGAGACATGGTCAAATGCCTGGTTACCAAAGATGCCAGGAATTTCATGCTGTGGAGGAAGGTTTGACTTTCAGCACTTGCTCAAGGAAGCCCACCTGTGAGAGTTCATCGTCTTCATCATCAAAGGTGAAAGCCTTGAACTTGGAGCTGTTCCAATACTCCTCCTCATCACCCTTTGTCCGGTTCATCTGGAAAGAAAGTAATGCAATCATGTGTCCTCTCTGGACACCTCCCGGAAGGAGCTCCAATGGGTTTGGGTCCCGTGATGCCAACTCACCGCCCCCCTCACCTCTCCCCCCAACTGATCAGGAATAGACAAAAAGCTTTGGCAAAGCAAATATTGAAGCTAAAATACGAAATTAGACTCTTGGGTCTACTCACACTGTCACTCCTCAAATTACCTGCAGTCACTCGTTCCTAGGGGACTTATATTCAGAGCATTCGGGTGTTTTAAGAGATCAGACTGTTCTCGGTTCGAAGATATTTCATTATTTATTTAGGGTTTGGAGGCCTCTCCCAAGCAGGGGCTATTCCTGGCTCTGCGTTCACAGGTCACTCCTAGTGGTATTTGGGGTGAATATGGGCTGCTGGCGATGGAATCTGGGTTGGCCACATGCAAGACAAGTGCCACATGCCCCCTCTGCACACCCTGGGCTATCGCTCTGGCTCTAGGTTCAAGATATTTTATAAGTGCAAAAACAGTTTCTCTCGTGAAAAACAACAGAGGTAAAGTATTCAGCACATGTGTGTATTAAGGTCATAATATAAGAAGGTAAACGTGCTTATAAGAATGCAGTGCAATAAAAAAGATGAAGTCATAAAATTTACATACAAGTGGTACTACATGGAAAGTATCATGCTAAGTGAAATGAGTCAGAAAGAAAGGGACAGACATAGAAAGACTGCATTCACCTGGGTAACATAAAATAACAAAATAGGAGACTAACACCCAAGAATAGCCCAGATAAGTACCAAGAGGTTTACTCCATGGCTTGGAGGCCAGCCACACACACTAGGGGATAAGGCAGCTCAGACAGAGAAGAAAGCACCAAATAAAGGGTGTTGGGAGGATCCTCCTAGGATGGGAGAAGCATGCTGAGAGTAGATTATAGACCAAACATGATTGTCACCCATTGCCTCTTTTGCAAACCACAGCACCCAAAAGGAGAGAGAGAACAAAAGGGAATGCCCTGCCACAGAGGCAGGGTGGGAAGGGGGGAAATGGGGGGGGGGGGTGGGAGGGATACTGGGATCAGTGGTGGTGGAGAATGGGCACTGGTGGAGGGATGGGTATTTGATCATTGTATAATTTTAACCCAAGCACAAAAATTTGTAAGTCTACAACTGTACCTCATGGTGTTTCAATAATAAAAATTAAAAAAAGAAAAAGAATGCAGTGCAAGAGTCAGAGATATTGTATATTGCGCCACTAAGGGGCTTGCTTGCCTTGCCTGTAGCTGACCAAGGTTCAATCCCTGACACCAAATCTGGTTTCCTGAGCACTGGCAGGAATGACTTCTGAGCAAAGTGCTAGGAGTAAACCCTGAGCACCACTAGGTGTGACCTCTCCAAAACAAAAGAATGCAGCACAAACTTTCTTGAACACAATCAAAGTACAAACAAAATATAAAATTTTCTCTCATATATTCAACATATATCTATAGGGCTATCTTGTAGGATTTTTTTTTCTTTTTGGGTCACACCTGGCGATTCACAGGGGTTACTCCTGGCTCTGCACTCAGGAATCACCCCTGGCGGTGCTCAGGGGACCATATGGGATGCTGGGAATCGAACCCGGGTTGGCCGCGTGCAAGGCAAACGCCCTACCCGCTGTGCTACTGCTCCAGCCCCCCTGATTTTTTTTTAAAACTATTTCAAGAAAGTTTATTGAAATCAAAATGTAAATAGTATCGAAGGGTAAAGCTCTATTTCAGCAAAACCAATATAACAATTCTGAATATACTAAAAAATATTTAAAATTAAAAATTTCCCCACTATACTTCATTGTATCAAACAAAACTATTTCCCCTGCCCCCTCCAAGAAAAAGAAAAAAAAATCAGAGGAAAAAGTCTGTATTAAATCACCTGCAAGCAAAAAGAGAAAAATTTCAGTAGAGTGGGTGTGTTTGTGTTGCTAGAAATCAAACCCAAGGTCTCACATATGCAAGGCAAGTGCTTTACCTCTGAACCATATCCCTGGTTTTCAAAACTGCATTTGAACAAGTGCCAATTGTTAGGAAGGAATTCCAATCAGGGCATAATCATATATGCTTAATGAGATCCAACCAAAGTTTCTCATTCAACTATCTACAAACCCAAGGTGAATCCCCACTGTTTTCTAGTCTCCCACTGCTCAGTTCTGCTGACCAAAAAGGCTCTGGGGGCCATTTCACATAATAAATGAAATGATGCAGCAGTTTGATCAGACCGAGTTCGTGTTTCTTTGTGATTGGTCAAAGGGCAGAAGTCATGTGCAGAACCCTAAGTTTAATCTCTAGCATGGTATGCACACATGCCACCACCATTCAGAGGGGGAAAAAGAACACAACTGAAACTTAACTAAGTGCTATATAAGATTTGTAATATGAACTCCTAAGGGTAGCATCTATTGAGGTTTCAGCTGCCAAACAGAGAGGTGTATACAAAGTTGTTTCTTGTGTGCTCATTTAAAAGTTTTACCAATCATTTAAGCTCTGAGAATATTATGGTGACTGAAACTGACAAATATGAAACTGACAAATATCTTGCTTCTGTGTAAGCTGGTGAGAAGCTGGAAAAAGAATAAAAACAATGCAATTAAATGCAACAAAATTATCCTACCTGTATCTTTAAATCATAATTTTATTAAAGGTAAAAATTTGGGAAATGAGAAACTGGTTAAAAAAAAGTTAAATTAGTTAATACACATTTTGTTTTAGTATCTAAATCCCTCTGATAATTAATGTAAAATTAAAATAACACTTTGTTATATTGTGTTTGGGGGCCACACACAGCTGTGCTCAGGGCTTACTCCTGGCTCTGTGAGCAGGGATCATTCCTGATGGTATCAGAGATAGTGCCTGGGTTAAGTGCAAGCAGACAAGCACCTGACCTGCTATTCTATCTCTTTGGACCCTAAAATAACATTTGAATATAAATTAATTTAAATCTAAAGCTAATCTGATGAATCTAAAGTCCTATAACCTAAAATCTAAAGTCTGATCATCTAAAATTAGATTTCAGAGTTAGGGTGATAGCTTGAAGGACTGGAACACATGATTTCATGCTCTAAGCCCCAGGTTCAACCCCCGGCACCAAAAGCAACACTCTAGAATTACATGGTATAGCCTGGTGGTCTCCAGCACTGCTGGAACAGAACACCTGTGCCATCAGACCTTACCCATAGCCAGGCTGGGTGCCACTGAGAGCAGCCTCTGCGCATCCTGATCAGGGGGCACCCTACTCCCAGAAAAAAATTAAGCAGTAAAATGATATTTCACTCTAAAAAATATTGGGTTACCTTAGAATGATAAACTAAATGGTGCCTACTTAACTGAATCAGAGTGAAAAAACTGGTTTAAGTCATTGACTCCGGAGGCTATAAAATGATTCTGAAGGATCAATTTGCTTTTCATTTTATTTCAATAGTATCTTTCTAATAGAAGACTGAATAGATTTGTGGCCACAACTTTGATAGCTCTTCACATCCTTCACTCGAGCTTCCTGATGTCAAGAGCTCTAGAAATGGCAAAGTGATGGTGGGTACTTTTCACTCTTTGTTCCCTTCCCAAGGCAGACATCACTAATTGGTCTCTACTGAACCCAGATATGGTTTAAAAATTCGGGGCCGGAGTGAGAATACAGTGGGCAGGGCACTCGCCTATGGGGCCAACCTGGAATCAATCCCCAGCATCCCATACGGTCCCCCAAGCACCACCAGAAGTAATTCCTAAGGGCAGAGCCAGGAGTAATCCCTGAGCAACTCCAGTGTGACATCCTGAGCATCCCCGGGACAAAACAAAACAGCAATAACAAAAAAAGCCCACATAAAATAAAAATCCTTTTGTATATTACATTGCAAGGAGTCAAAACCAAATTTAAAAAAAAAGCTGGCAGTCACAATTAAATCATTCCTTATAGTATGATAAGTATAGCCCTAGGAATTAGGCAACCTTCAATTCAAATTTTATTTTCTCCAATTCCCAGTGAACCGCGTAAATCATTTTACTTCTAACGCCTTGGAGAAAGCATCTTACCTCACAGGACTGCAGTGAAGAGTAAATACAACTCAGGAAACACCTATCCCAGTGCCTAGCAAAAAGTAAATTATAAATATTAGTTCTTTCTAGAGTAGACTATCTTATTCCATTTCCTCATATGTAAAATGGGTGTAATGACAGAATTCTACTAGATGATGATGAGGCTCATTGAGTCAGTTAATACCTGCAGAGCATATAGAGCAAGACACAAAGTAAATGCTCACATTATCTTTTATTAATAAATCATCATAGGGGATGGAGCGACAGCACAGCGGGTAGGGCATTTGCCTTACACATGGCCGACCTGAGTTTGATTCCCAGCATCCCATATGGTCCCCTGAGCACCACCAGGAGTAATTAATTCCTGAGTGCAGAGCCAGGAGTAACCCCTGTGCATCGCTGGGTGTGACCCAAAAAGCAAAATAAATAAATAAATAAATAAATCATGATGGAACCAGAGAAGAAGCTAGGAAAATACTTTAATATAATCCTAAAGGTTAAAAAAAAATTCCCAATCCCCTGGAAGTCCTTGCTACCTTGCTAGCACTGAGGCGGCATAGCACATAGAACTGTCTCTGACAAAGGTGTAGGTTTTCAGGACCTTTGTCACTGTCAGCTGCACTCTCTAAGGCAGGCCACCTTCACTTCCCATTTCTGTTTCACTGTTGGGAAACCGAGGCACAAAGGATTGATGACCAGCGGCCTTGCTAAGTTCTCCTGCACGCCAGTTTTCTGTCTCATGGTCGCATCCACTCTGGATGGCAACTATCTGTAAATATCTACGGGCACATATCTATCTAACCCAATAACCTGCTGGCTATTCGTGGGAACCCTGTTGAACCAAAATCAGAGGACACTTGGTACCAGTACGTTAACTTGGACCGCCAAGTCAGAATCCAGCTTCTCGGGGCAATGTCAGGAGACAGTGACTTAAGGAGTCTAGAAGTGACACAGCATCCCCGGGGCAATTTCAGGTATAACCTGGGACAGACAACTTGAGAAAGAGCTTCAGAGGTACTGTAAATACTTCCAGCTTAAAACAACTTATTCGTATCATTTGCTATTCACGATGGGGAGCGAGCATACAAGACAAGGCAAGTCCAGCAGATCCAAGGGAACAGACACGGAAGGAAAACAAGAAGGGGGGTGCGGGCCGGGGGGAGGGGCGCACCTACACCCCCCCCCACGCCTCCTGCCCCACTGCACGCCCCCAGAACCCAGCCACGGTGCAAGCTAGGGGTTAAATCCCGCTCGTCCCGTCCCCTGCCCCAACAGACGGACTGAGATCAGGGAAGGAGGCTTAGACCAGACTCTTTAGACCAAACCCCCAGGACCGACGACCGACCGCAGTCGCTACTATGTATCGGACACCCCAGGGGTTGGGGTGGGGGGGACCGAATGCTCGCTCCGAATCAATGCCAAGGTCCAGTCGGGGCTCCACACCCCAGTGTGCCCCGACGGCCAAAAGACTAGGAATCGCGCCTGTCAAGTCAAGCCGGGGGTGGGGAGGTGTCTCAGGGGCCCCGAGAATAAAGAGAAGATCAAGATGCGGAGAGGCTGCGCGCCCAGTCAGCAGCGCGGGCCCCAGGAGGTCGGGACACCCTCACCTCTGCCACACCGAGCCCTCCCCGTCAGGACAACACCAGACGCCTCGGCCGCGGCAACAGCCTCTCTAGACAGGCTGGGCGGCATCAAAAGAGGGCGGAAACGCTAGTGGCGGCGAGGGCGGAAGGTCAGAATGCCCGGCGAGAGCCCGGGCGCAAGCCCTTCTGGAACTTGTAGTTTTCTACACGGCGGCCCTCCGGGGTCATCCGCACGGGCCGCGGGACTTTCGGACTACAACTCCCAGAATCCCCTGCGGCCCCCGTGCCGAAGGACGTTTCCTTTCCTTGCGACCTTCCGCGGGGCTCGAGCGGGTCAGGCCTCAAGACTACAACTCCCAGGAGGCTCCGCAGACAACCCCCTCCCACACCACCCCCCACCACTTCAGGGTCCAGGGAAACAGCCCAACGTGGTCTTTGTGCTCCCCGAGTGGCTGAGGCGTGGGTCTCCTGAGCTTTTGCAATTCAGGTCCCTCTGCAAATCGCCTAAGGAAGTTTGAAGAAGGCTCAGAAACGGCGAAGCGAAGGTCCCGAGGGGTGGGGGGGAAACGGAAGTCCCGGGGGGGGGCTTGAGGCGGAGCCGGAAGTGAGGGCGGGGAGGGGGCGGGGGTGAAGGGAAGCGCCAGCCCGGAGCGTCTGCGCTCGCTTCTAGTAGTTTCCAGGCGCTGCCGGCGGTCGGGACCCGAAGGTCCGGAGGTGGTGGCTGTGGCTGCGGCTGCTCCGAGCTGGTGGCGGCGTGAGAGGAGAGCCGATGGCCAAGTGGGGCGAAGGCGACCCACGCTGGATCGTGGAGGAGCGGGCAGACGCCACTAACGTCAACAACTGGCACTGGTGAGGGCCAGCGGGGCCAGGCCGCGGGGACGCTCCTGCCGGCCCGGCTTGCGGGGTCCCTGCAGCCTGGGCGAGACAAAGCCGCGCCCGGACCCCCCTCCCCCCGCGCCCCCGCCCCGCAGCCGGGACCCAGAGGAGACTGTGTTCGCATTCCAGGGGTCCGCATCCCCAAAGCCCCTCCTTTGACCGCTTCCCCCCCGCCCCCAACCCCGTTTCAGTGTATGGGGGTGGGGGGCTGGAGGGCTGGAGGGCTATGCAGCGGGCAGGCGCTCTGGAGTTGGGATTCCAGGCGCGGGAGGACTTCACCTGGCCGCGGTCGCCGGACGGGGCGGTGAGATGCTCCGCACACACGTGGCCGCGGGAGGCAGTTAGCTCCCGGGGAGGTGGGGGCGGGGGGCGCACGGCCACGGGGCAGGACGCGGGGCTGCGTCTCCGGGTTGGCGGCCCACGCGTGGGATGAGCGCCCCGAGACCCCCTCTGTCTGGTGCACAGGGCGCAGGCTGTGGGGCGTTTTCTGCAGGTGCCCGGGCGGGCGGGCGGGAGGGCGGCGCGGTCGCGCACCCGGAACTGTTGAGCGGTGTTGGGAACTCCGGGAACCGCGGGTGGTTGCCGGGCGTTCTTGGCGTCTCTCGGCAGAACCACGCTCACGAAGCCTGCCTCTCTTCCCGAGGTCTTGCAGCCTTATCTTGCCATTCCTCCGAACTTTGTTCTGGCTGCTTTCACTGTATTTCTACTTTGTTGCAATTCTTCCACCACTACCCTCCCGCCTCCCCCCGCCCCCTTTTTTTGCTACTTATTTGTGCTGCTTAGTACTTACGGAGGCAGTAATTGCTCTTCTTCCTGCCCTGCCCCCACGGCCTACCTCCTCTCAACACTCGCAGAGTACCTGACCCGATTGAGGTGTCCAAGCCCTGGGACTAACATGTTTTTGGGGCCGTTTAGAGGGCACGCACTGGGCAGAGCATTGACAGCGCTGCCTGAGTGGGACGGCTTAGAACACGGATCAGAATGATTGGGTCCTTTCTTAAAGGGCTTTTTGCAGCCAAACACTGCGTTTGGTGGCTCACTCTGCCCCTGACTTCAGCAGCATGGTACTCGGCTTTTCACTTGGTCAAATAGGCGGTGTGCCACGGTATCAGATATGACCAGAGCACCATGGTATTGACCAAGGACACATGGTTTCCACTTAGCTCCTACCACTTTCTCCACTGCAGGTACCCTTGCTTGTAGCAAGCAGTGAGGTCTATATAATGCAGCATATGTTTCCTCTTCCTCCAGCCCCCCTCCAGACTCAAGTACTGTTGCAGGTCTACTTGAGTGCCTGTTTTCTGTGTTTGCAGGACAGAGAGGGATGCTTCAAATTGGTCAACAGATAAGCTGAAGACCCTGTTCCTGGCAGTCCAGGTGCAGAATGAGGAGGGCAAGTGTGAGGTAACAGAAGTGAATAAGCTCGATGGAGAGGCATCAATTAACAATCGCAAAGGCAAACTTATCTTCTTCTATGAGTGGAACGTCAGACTTAACTGGACAGGTGAGTGTGGCGAGTGGGGAAAGAGGTTAAGTTGCAGGTTGGTGGCCTGGTTGGGACCCGTGGCAGACAGGCGTGGAAAGACCCCTTCCCCCCACCCCCCCACCCCCACACACACACCCCTGTTGCCTTTTCAAGAGAGACAGTGCCAAGCTCTTGAGTGCCCTGTAAAAAAGCAGCCTTGGTTGGTGCACTTTCTCCTGGGTCATGCACAGGCTGAGACCCAAGTGTCTCAGGGTCTCACAAGTCCCCGCCAGCAAAGTGGTTTGGGGACACATTTGTTGATTTTTCCAGACTAGTTACTTTTGTTCCTTGAATAATTTAAAAGTGGGGAGGGTGTTTTAGAAACTTTGTGTCTTCTTGGTTTTTACCTCTTTCCACTCTATCCAGTATGAATCTGGAATACTCTGCAAATACAGCTTGTAAGGCTTTGGAACAATTTTATCTTTCAATAATTTTCCTGCTGTATAACATTAGGAAAGATTCGGGGTCATGTAAGTGAAAGCTCTGGGGTAGATGGTAATTAAATTTGCTTTTGTGAGCCCATTTGACGGTTGGGAAGCTGAATATAAAAAGGCACTAAAGCTGGACTGGAGAGATAATACAAGGGTTCAGGTGCTTGCCTTGCATGCTTGCCACCCCAGTTCAGTCCCGGATTCACCTTAGGAGTGAGGGCTAGAGTGAGCCCTGAGCACTGCTGGGTATGCACCCCACCCCTTCCTTCCCTCCCCCCCCAAAAAAAAAATCAAAAGTCACAGAAAGACACTAAAGCTAAAGGAATATATGTCTTGGGCAAAGCATTTGGTTCTGCAATATTGGATAAGTTCTTAAAGATTGCCACATTTTGCACAATAAGTCCACGGAAGTGCAGTGGGGGAGGGACAGAACTTCACTGGTGTCACGTTTAAAATTCAGGCACATGAAAATTGGTGGCACAGTTGTACGCATATTAAATGGTAAGAAACATATAGATTATCAAGGAAAATAGGGTGCTTTCCTTTGAAAAACATCCGAACTTTACTTGTGAAAGTGGATGTCAGAGGGTTGTGACTTGTGGATTATTGTGAAGTGGTGAAAGGGAGCTGTGTGAAGTCAGGAGGAAGGTGTCACTGGCACTGTTTTGTGTGGTGTGGCTTCTAACAGGAGTATTTGAAATGAGAAGATTGTGACAGGTAGATATTAGAGAGATGTGTGTGTTTTGTATCTTCCTATGTAGCTCTGTTCTTAGGGGTGTGTGTGTGTGTGTGTGTGTGTGTGTGTGTGTGTGTGTGTTGGCCTAATGTTTCTCATTGATGAGATCACAAGCAAATGTGAAAGCCTAGCAGTCACACAATCATGTTTTCTAAACAAGTGTTCTAGCAGGACTGGCTATGGGCCAGAGTTCTCCCTGGCAGGGCGCATGCTCACACCGAACTCCAACCCTTTGAGTCTCTGTAGTTCTTGGATTGCATGCGGAAAGACATGACTTCTGAGGTGGAGGGTGGGTTTCCTGTGGCGTTGGCTCTGAGTACCGCGGGCCGCTTCAGGTGTCCAAAAGAAGAATAAAACAGCAGTGGGTAGGATGCCTGAGCAGCATCCCTTCAGAGGAGAGATGACTAAGGCAGTGCATTGCTTTTCACAGGTACCTCGAAGTCCGGAGTGCAGTACAAGGGCCACGTGGACATACCCAATTTGTCTGATGAGAACAGTGTGGATGAAGTAGAGGTTGGTGCTTCCCGACACCTCACCCGACTTGTATCTTTCACATCCTCTTTCAAGGATGAGCAAATTGACCGTTTGGCTTAAGCATTAAATACCCAGTCCTTGGGTGGTTTCGTGCCAGTGGCCGCCTCTCGGGCCGCTTTGCTTATTTAATACTTACTTGGCTTTAGCTGGTCACCTAAACTGGGACGTTAGCTACCTTTGCCTTGGTTCGAGAGAACTTGAGAAGGAGCCCTGGTGGGGACTGAGCCCATTGCTCAGCCCCTCGTGCATTTCCTGTGGGAAAGGTCAGCAGTTCTCTTGATTGCGCTGGACTCACCTTCCAAACTGTGGGTGCCCCTCATTGATTTACCACCTACTTCTGGTCTTTCACTCAGATTAGTGTGAGCCTTGCCAAAGATGAGCCTGACACAAATCTCGTGGCCTTAATGAAGGAAGAAGGGGTGAAACATCTAAGAGAAGCAATGGGAATTTACATCAGCACCCTCAAAACAGGTATCCCTTGAGTAGTTATGCATGCCTTAAGGAGATAGTTTGCCACCTGTCAGTCCTTTCTTGCGCAAATGGAAAGAGGTTTGTTGGGAGGGGGGCATATTTTATCTGAAAGTGAGCCTTTAAAATCTGTGGAAGTTCTTGCGTTCTCTGATATGTTGGCTCTCAAGCTCTTGAAATATGACGTGTCCACGTTGAGGTGTACTGTGAGTACAAAACGCTGGCTTTTTGAACACTTGGTAACCAAAAAATGTGGTAAGATAATTCATTGATTTTTTTTTTGTATATCAGTAATGTGTTAAAATGATTGACTATTATATTAAATACATTATTTTACCTTTTTTTTTTTTAACTTTTTTAACATGGCTACTAAAAATTGTAAAAAAGTGCATTCAGAAGGGCCAGAGACGTGGCTCAGAGGACTGGAGCACAGGTGTTACATGCTGGAGGCTCAGGTTCAATACCCAGAAGCCCCCCGCATCGCTTAACGTGACCCCAGATACAAATATATTTGAAGCTGGTATTGTCTTTGTTTGGGGCCACATTAGGCGGTGCTCCAGGAC